CATCATTGCCACGGAATATTGCCTGAGAATGAAACAGCCTGTTTAGAAGATGTTATAATATCATACAGAGGGGGAAAGGAAGAAAGTACAAAAACATAGGACAAAGAGAAAACAATTACGGGTTTGAGATCCTTCTACAAAAGGCAACTAGAGCTAACCTTTCTGAAAAAATCCATCCAGGCTACAGGAAATGGACCTAAACATCAATAATATAAATTTTTACCTTTCAGAAGTTAGTAAGTATACAATGATATCACTATTATAAAAGACATAAGTTACAAGATGAAGAAAGAACTAATTATTTTAACAGGAAAACATGAAAAGTTTAGCACTTAGAAATTAACTAAAGATAAGAAAAATAGAAACAAAGAAGAAACCTGTTAAAATTGATGTGGAAAATGAGAAACACAGTCTAGTTAGGACAAAAAAAAGAAGTGGTCATAAAACAAAGCAACCCACAGGATACTATCCAAAATTTTGCCCAAGTGCAGACCCTTTAAGTCCAAAAAATAATTACTTGAATCTATCAGAATAACCATATATAGCTTGTCATTGGTGATAATAATCCTAAGATGTAGTGAAGACATGTTCTTTGACGAGATTGGTCCGACTGTTGTGTTCCTTAATATGTGAGGGAATTTAAAACATAAAGCAAACCCATTTACTTTCTTGTCATTATTCTATTTATAGAACATAGATGCAAAAACTCTGAAGCTTTGAACTGCATGCTTTGGCAAAGACCGCAAGGATAACAAGCAAGTGAGCCAGCTGCACCACATAGGAAAAGAAAGTTCTTTCTCCACTATCATAAAAAATGAGGAACATTTCCGAGAAAATTAGTGACATCCTTAAAGAAGAACCATCTCCTAAAAGTTTTTTTTAAGATAAACGAGAAAATATTCTTAAGACAGAGAAAGAAACAAATACAAAAGTGGAGGGTAATGTGTATTCTCCTCAAAAATAAGTGAAAAACAAGAAGAAAGAATAGAAACAATCACATGATTGTAACATCATACAAGTTATGGATGATAGATTCCTAGTTTCAGTGGAGCGCGGGCATACAATTATGAGGGAAATGTCCACATGCTTTCACCCACAAAGTTGCCACGAGAATAGTTCTATCCCATACTCATCCAAGGAAGTAGTATGGTTATGGAAAATTTGCCAGCTCCTTTCTAGCCAAATAGACCATAGTCCGGCAAAAGTCGCTCCTCGCCAAAGAAGGTTAGCTTCCTTCCTCACCCTTACTCCATAGAGGCTCGAGGAAATGAAGCTTTTTAGTATGAGAGTCAACGCCTAATCCAAACCCAAAAGTCTCACCAATTTCGTCCACATCCTCTAAATTAAGTTGCAATTTAGGAAAACCCGGGACTGAGTCTCACCTCCTTTTTTTTTTGAAATAAGAGTCTCACCTCCTTTAAAACACATTAAGCAGATGTCTGGAGACAAGGCAACGAAAGAGTGACAGATTTGGAGGATCTCACTGTATTAAGCCTTTGAAGAATGTTGTCCATGAAAGTACATTTTTCTCTAAAGAAACTAAGACTTTCCAAAATATCTTAGCATTGTCAAATGGAAAATGAAATGGATTTTTGTAAGGTGGTTGAACAACGACTTATATGTAAACATCCCAATGGTTCATGAATCAGAATCTATTGTCTGGCTGGGATGACATTTGAATGGATTCTAAGTGGATAATAAGGATGATATGTCAGAAGACTCACTATCAGATAGGTTCTTGCATTTTAACATATATTAAAAGTTGAAATGCTCAAGTTGATGAACATCGTTAAATTTGATCAATGGAGAATATAATCTCAGAATGCCTTATGTGATTAGATATCTGTTATATATATCTTATGA